TATCTTAGTTTCTTGTAAACAGAGTTATAAAAACTAAATTGCTGAGATATTGAATATGATTGAAGAGGCTCATTAACAGATACCCAAGGGAAATGTCTAGCTGTTCATCTGTTACAGTACCGCCAACATTGCAGTAAGAGAAGTAGGAACGTATCACGAAACAGCTGCAAAGGTCTTTGCCAACGGTGGTTTTTGTGACACATTAGGGTTAGGTTAATAACTAATTTGTGAGGCCTAAGTATTGTTTAAATGTTTGTTAAGCTGTTTAGCATAGCCAAGAATAACCTCACAAGCATTTTTCTAGCAAACTGCTATCTTTTAGAAGTCATCATTACACGTTAAAATCAGATATAGAATATATTATTCTTGTCAGCCTTCCGTTGTGTACAGCACTCTATAATAGATTGTATCAGCAATTATTCATGGGCAAGCCAGCATTTAAGGGCTAAAAAGTCACTGAGATATTTAATTAAAGTCAGAGTTCTGGTTTAAGCTCTGGAAATTACAATGTGTATGTTTGTGTGTGTATGCCCATGACAGCTAGAGAGCACGTATGGAATTTGCCAAAACATACAGTTAGAGCTATACTGTAATCAGTCTTTCACTGCAAGCAGCATGTTCTAAATAGCCAATACAAGCCCCGTTGTTTGGTGCTTATATTTTCAAATACATAGACCCATTCATGAATCATCACACTTATTCATGGCAGGAGCCTAAGGCAGGTGTGGCCAAGAGGCAGCTAGAAGGCTGGATTTGGCTTTCCAAGCCACCGGATCTGGCCCACGGCCACCTCACAAGAGCCCTTACTATAGAGCAGCTGCAGCCACTTTAAACGAGAGGTTACTAATCACTGCGCAGTCTAGGCAGGGAGGAGAAAACTTCATGTGCTGTCCCCACCCCTGAGCAAAATCCCCCAGCTCTCGTTTCCAATTTCCAGCCAACAGAAGGCGAGAAAGTTTGGTGAAGGCAGGGGCAACGAATGAAGCCTTCTCACTCCCTCATCCCCCTTCCCTCCCTGGGCTGGAGGGTGTCTGCAGAGCTGCTGGCTGGGAACCACATAGGTAAGTGCCTCCCAGCCAGAGCCTGCCTTTGGCACCCCACCTCCTCTTTCCCCCAACTACTTGCCCAAGGCCACCACCGTAGCCCTCTGTAACCTCTCTCCGCACTTCCTCCTGGTAACAACTCCCTCCCAAACCCTGCAACCCTCTCCTGTACCCATAATCCCTCTGGCACCCTTCACCCTAAGCCCCTGCCCCAGATCATAACCCCCTCCTTCACCCAAACTCCCCCTCAGACCCCACACACCCTCCTGCACCCCAGTCCTATATCCCAAGCTCCCTTCTACATCCCACCTGCCATCCCAGACCCCATGCTCCCTCCACAGAAGTGCAGCCTTTGACCACTTACCAAAATCTTGGAGTGGCCCCCCATTAAAAATGATTGCCCACCCCTTGCCTAAAGGATGGACTTGTTGCCAGGTGATTTTGGGGGAAAATATTACTTTATTTAGATTCTGAAGTTAAACACATTGATGAAGGATCTGTGCTCTGAGTCAGATCAATCCCTGAAGCCCACCTAGCACAGATCTTAACTAGGCTCTCCCTTTCCTCTCGATGACCCAAAAGCCAATCAAAGAGCTTTTAAACTGTTTGCCTCCTAGGTTTTCCTTGCCTCAGGGAGACATAGAGAATCTTTTCTGTTCACCAAGTGGTCAAACACTCTGTGAAATAAGCAGCTTTTCCCTTATGGTGCTCACTGTCTTACCATTGTCTCTATGAACATGTATTAATTATAAATATATTTTATAAATGTTAATATTTGTTTGTTATACTACTGTAGTAGCGAGGTCCCTTGCTTAAAGACGAAGAACACTTTGTGCTAGGCACTGCACAAACAAGAACAGAAAGTTGCCTCCTGCGTACATTCTAATGCTGGAGTTTCTCAGCACTGCAAATATGTCTTCCTCTAACATATCCTCTCCACCTTCTGATTTTAAAAGTTTTTCTTCTGCCGTTCTGGCAAAAAGTATCCATCTCTGGGTGGAAATTATTTAAACATGCAACTTATTGGCAGTGTGGCTGGAGAACTCTGCAAAGTAAGGAGAGCTCCAAAGGCATGGTATAAAAATGGAGTGAACTCAAGATTACATAGATAACTATTTCTCCATGACAGATATGTGTTCTTTCTGTGGGGTCATTGAATGTTAAAATTTCCATAAAATCTCAGAGCTGTCACTGATAATCTAGATCTTGTACAGTGTCATAAGTTTTGATGAAAAATTGGTCCATCTTTCTGTCAAGATGTGATAAAAATAGCCATATGGGGTCAGACCACAGGTCCATCTAGCCTAGCATCCTGTCTTCTCATGGGCTACATCTACACACCATCTTAAGAGCAAGCCTGTTATAGTGAAATATAGTGGGCTTGCTGTTTTGACTCCCTGTAAACCTCATTGCACGAGGGATAAGATGTGTTTCAGAATACTGCCTTATTTCAAAATTTGGTGCTGTGTAGACAGCACCAAATTTCAAAATAAGCTATTTTGAGATAACATTGAAATAAGCTACGCAGTTTGCATAGCACAAATTGCGTAGCTTATTTCAAGGTAAAGGTGCTGTGTAGATGCCCCCACAGTGACCAATGTCAGGTGCCTCTGAAAACTCCTATCCATGCAGAACTCCTATCCAGACAAATACTTTATATAGCTACAAAGCAATAGATTTTGCCATTGGAGAGCAAAGTTTTAGTGCTTCGGGATATCTCATTTTATAGTCCACAGTTATCAGTATTTATTGGTGACCCATTTCATTCTTGTACAAAGGGGTCCTGATGTGTTCAACCCTATTTACTGAAACAAGAGTGTTGCTCATTGCCTCATTTGGCCCTCAGCAGTGTTGACTTGTCCTCCAACTTACTGTGTCTTTTGGCTGGGTAACATATAGCAACTAGGAATTGATCTTCATTTGTGAGGTCATTTTTAGTAACAAGAGTAGCCTAAACTTCTCATGGCATTGTGAATTGCTTAAAATCAGGAAACTCCTGATAATACTGAAAGAGTTAAAAATTGTGAAATATGATTTTGCTAGAGTCACCATATAAACAACTCATTGATTAAGCTTATTTTAGGAAGAACATCTGCAGTATAAGTATACACAGAGAATCTCAACACATCTGTCTCCCATGTCCATCTCCACCTCAGTCCAAGTGTGTACATTTTTAATATATAGGGCAATACCTCCTCTCTTTTTTCTCCTCTTGTCCTTCCTGAGTAATCTGTAACCTTCTATACCAATATTCCAATCGTGTGTATTATCCCACTAAGTCTCTGTGATACCAATGATGTCATAGTTGTGTTTATTTATTAGCAATTCAAGTTTTCCCTGCTTATTACCCATACTTCTTGCATTTGTATATACGCATCTAAGATTTGATCTTGCCTCCCAGTTCTGCTTTGTCCCCAGAAGAAACCTGGAAGATTGACTGCAGTAGTTTCAGTCTTCTCTGTAGCATAAACAAGCCCTGATTGACTCACTTTTGCTTTCAGTTTAAAATCACATTTTGATATAGGTGCATACAAGATCTTGGAAGTATCCTTTCTCAGTAATATTACCGGGAAAATGCTCCATAGTTGTCAGTTGTGGTATTCAGGATTCTGTGTTGTACAGTGATAATAGGAATGGTGTTTCACATGCATTTGTATGTTTGAATTTTAAGACAGGATCATATTAAAATCCACACACAGAATTTCTTTTTACATAATCTTACTGCAAGAGATGGACTGAATCTAATAAAACACATGTGCATTATGTATGTTCAGTTCTTTCTATTGGAGACATCAAGTCTTTACAGTTATTCATAGAGTAGGGGATCTTGACAATTCATTATCCTAGTCAGCATTTTGGGCAACACATCTGAGACTTTTTTGGGGCATCTAAGTGGCAGAGCTAAAATTTCAGGTACATTTGTTAACTGAAAGCAAAAAAAAAAAAATTCCATTTTCATGGACTTGTTTCGCTCCTTCCCTCTCTCTAAAATGCACACATCTAGATGCAAATATCAGAGGTATTGATTTTTCCCTCTGGGTTTACATCACTCACTCTTTAATGATGGGCTGCCAGGCAGCAGAGGAGAGTACTTCTCGCTCACAATGGGTCTGATCCAAAGCCCATTGAAACCAATCAGAGTATTTTCAGTGACCAAAGATGCAGATCATTATCTCCTCCGAATACTGAATGTCAGTTCCTAGCAGGGGGTGTCTTGAGCCATCTGGAGGACAGTGCCTGGCATAGTTATTGCACCAATAGGGTATTTCTAAATATCACGTTGAAATAGATGTGATTTTTTTGCACTGAATAATATGTTTATCTGCCTGAAATCCCTGGCAAATGAAATTTAATGTAAACTAATGTACATTGGAAAAAATAATCTCAACTATACATATAATATGATGGGAACTAATTTGACTACAACTACGGAAGAGAGAGATCTTGGAGTAATTGTGGATAGTTCTCCGAAAACATCCACTCGGTGTGTAGCGGCAGTCAAAAAAGCTAATAGAATGTTAGGAATCATTTTAAAAAAGGGATAGAGAATAAGACAGGATCATGTGATTATTACCTATTGTGTTTGCTCCCCCGGGGCAGCTGGCATTGGCCACTGTCGGCAGATAGGATACTGGGCTATATGGAAGATTGGTCTGAGCCAGTATATCCGTTCTTAAGTGGATTTTGGTTTTCATACATTTAAATTCATGCAGTATTTTGTGGCAATGTTTGAATACCTCATAATTCCTGATATGTTATTCCCTGATAAGGGATGTATTAATACAAAAGAATATGTTGCTTCATTATTTTAAAATGTGTAAATAGAACATTCATCAAGAGCTTTCATGGATGAAGTAATTGGCAATAAACAAATAGTGCATTTGGGGACTAAGGGAATAAAGAAATGCTGAAGAATTATTTTTAATATGTTAAAAATCCTGCTTTTTTTCTTATCAGGTACGATTTCTGTGAACACATTACGTACACCTTACACTGCACCTGGAGAAAGTGAAATCCTAGACCTAGATGATGACTTGTATCTTGGGGGCCTGCCAGAAAATAAAGCAGGTCTGGTCTTCCCAACAGAAGTGTGGACAGCACTTCTCAATTATGGATATGTTGGCTGCATCAGAGACTTGTTTATCGATGGCCAAAGCAAGGATATTCGACAAATGGCTGAAATTCAAAGCACTGCTGGAGTGAAGCCCTCATGCTCAAGAGAGACTGCTAAGCCATGCCTGAGCAACCCCTGTAAAAATAATGGTGTATGCAGGGATGGGTGGAACAGATACATCTGTGATTGTTCTGGTACAGGATACCTTGGCAGATCATGTGAGAGAGGTAGGTTTCAAAACATTGCACATGTCTCTACAATCTAGAAATTAATGGTTAAAAATGGCAAGTACTGTGTTTATTGTTTAAAAAAATAACCCTCCTTGTTTGATGCTCTTCTTCACACTTGTTTTATGTTGGCACAAAACTACATTGAATCAATGAACCATGTGGCCACAAGAAAGAGTTTGGGGAGATTTTCAAAGGCAGAAATGGCAGGTAGATGCTTACCTTCCACTGATAATGTGTAAAATCAGGTGTTTATTTGCCATTTGTGACTTTGAAAGTTTCCCCTTTTGTTATTTCAGAAGTTGGGCTGTGAAATAATGTGTGGCAAAACAAGAAAGTACCTTCTCTTATGACTTGACTGAAATGTGACTGAATGAAACTTTAATTCACCTTAATTTGACTCTAATATCAGGTCTCATTATCCACACACATACACAGGTAGAGCCCTACTAACTTCATCAAATTTATTTTTGAATTCCATGAGTGAAAAATGTGAGAACAGAGAATACATCACATAACTTACAAATGTAGAATACAAAAGGAAAAAAAACATGTATTAAAAATAAAACAATGTAAAACTTTAGAACTGACAACTGCACTCAGTTCTACTTCTTGGTCAGCCAATCAGTCAGACAAACAACGTTTGAAAGAGATAAGGTTGCCTGCTTTTTGTTCTCCTGAGAATGAGAAACTGCATTTGCATGGCACTCTTGCAGCCAGTGTCACAAGATATTTAGATGCCAGATGCACTAAATATATACATGTCTCTTCTTGCTTCAGTCACCATTCCAGAGGACATGTCTTCCTGCTGCTGATGGGTTCTGCTTGATAAAGATCCAAAGCAGTGTGGATTGATTCATGTTCATTTTTATCACAAGTCAGATGCCACCAATAGAACAGTGATTTTTCTTTTGTGGTGGTTCAGGTTCTATAGTTCCACCTCAGAGTGTTGATCTCTTAAGACTTCAGAAAGTATGCTCCATACCTCTTCCCACTCAGATTTTGGAAGGCACTTCTGATTCTTAAACCTTTGGTTGAGTGTTGTAGCTGTCTTTAGAAATCTCTCAATGGTGCCCTCTTTGTGTTTTGTCAAAATTGCATTGAAAGTGTTCTTAAATCAAATAAGATGAGTCATCATCTGAGACTGCTATAGCATGAAATATATTGTAAAGTGCAAGTAAAACAGAACAGAAGACATACAGTTCTCCCTAAGGAGAATTGGCATTGTTAATAAGAAGCTGGCAGCATTATTTCCTAAGCATAAACTAACTTGCTTTTCTTAGTGATTGGCTGAACAAGAAGTAGGACTGAGTGAAACTGGGGACATTGTTTTGTTTCTGAGTACAGATATGTAATTAAAAAAATCTACATTTGTGCAAATAAAAAATAATACAGGTTGGACCTCCCTGGTCCAACACCTGTGGGACCTGAGCTGTCCTGGACCAGGGAGTTTACCAGACCAGGGGAGCTTTGTGCTCCCTTGCTGGCTGCTCTCTTCTAGGCTTTTCTCTTTGGGGCTCCCTGCCCAGCTGTAGGCCCCACTCATGCTGCCTGCCTGCTGCCCCAAGGTCTCTTGAGATTCCTGGTGGGAATAGCTTGGCCACTGCTGGCCCTGCTACTGCAAGGTGTTCCCTCGCTGGTGCCACCCTGCCAAGAGGGGCACCCCAGCCACAGCTACTCGTCCACCCTGCCCTGCTGCTAGGGCTGCCTGCTGCTTCTGGGGATTCAGTGAGTTCCCCAGCTACCGCCCAGCCCTCGGGGATTCCCCAGACAGGGCGAGGCTTCCGCAGATGCAGCCTGGCTCAGCTGGGGCTCCCCAGCCCTTGCATTGTCTCAGCTGGCTCTGGTGTTCTTTGATTCTATGACATATTTGGCCCTGCAGGATCAAGGATGTTGCAGGACCAGAGAGTCCCTGATTTGGGAGATTCAACCTGTACATTGTACAGTGAACATTGTATACTTCGTATTTTGTGTTGTAATTGAAATCAATAAATTTGAAAATGTAGAAAAAACATCCAGAAATATTTAATACATTTCAATTGTATTGTATGGTTTAATAGTGTGATTAAAACGATGATTACGTGCAATTAATTTTTATCACGATTAATTTTTTGAGTTAATCATGTGTACTGGCTACAATTAATCAACAGTCCTAATTATTTCTTGTATCTTATTTTAATTAGTATTAACACTTTAATCTGCAAGCAGTAGTATTTCAGTGATCATTAAAATTAGAATAGTTCAGTAATAACATTGAGAAGAATTTTATGCTATTTTGTTGAATCGTGTACATACTACTTAAATTAATGGGCATGTTTTTTTCTGTGTACAATACACAGTTTTATGAAAGAAAAGGAACACAGTAGCTCAGTTTAGTATTTTGTATCAGAGATAGAATTTTTATTTTTAAATTGACACCAAATATAATTGATAAAGACACTTCCGGTGCTTTGCACACACATTGCTTAAATCTTCTCTAGTTAAATATTCATGATTTGTTACAATTGTCAGTTTCAGCACTTGTATTTTAGTGACTGAATATTAAATCTGCTTTTCAATTTCTCTTTTTATAACAAATCTTTACTTTTATATTATATTATTCTCTTGTAGGTGATTTTATTACAATAAAGGACTCAGACCTTTTATTTAATGTATTTCAAGAAACAAAAGAAATGAAATTTGACATCCTTATTTGTAAGGATAAGTGGGAAACTAACAGTTTAGTGGAACAAAAATCTTGTTTAGTGTTTGCATTCCAGTTTGAAGAAGAAATGCTCAAATGCCAGAACACTTTTTTTGTGAAATCTTATATTACAATTGACATATTTATTTATAGTTTTCCCTTTCAGCTGAAACCTAATCTTCATGCTTATTCACTGTCAGCTAAAGTTTCTACTTTATAGTTTAATTCATTTTGCTAGATAAAGTGGTCACGTGAAGTTTTTACTGTTTAAAAATAAAACCAATGATTTATTTTAAATCTAGATATAAACTTGAGGAAATCCTATTGCTTGTGTGGTTAATAAAGTCAGGTTATTGGCATTTCCAAAAAGGTCCCAGACTTTTAAAAGATGTAAGCCCCTTTCGTGAGAAGCCAGTTATTTTGATGTTTCTGAATTGTTCTATTACTGGGGGAGTGAAGTTGGCAGAGGGCATAGCCAAACTGTAAGATAAATTACAAAAATCTTCAGTTAAATATGCACGGTCTACCACCCTGTGGCAAAATTCCGCTATTACATATGGTAGAAATAAAAATAGTACTTCTATCTTTCCAAATGAGTAAGAACTAGAAATATTTATAAATTTCAATCATTAGAGACAGGGGCAACAAATATATGCAAATCTGCAAATGAGAATTTAATTGCAAACTTCATCATAGGGATTTATCATAAGCATATTTAACAGGTCATAAGAACTTGTACAGGATCCTTTTCATCTCCAGTTATTTCCCCCCCTAGTATATTTTCAGCTATCATCCAATTTAAGACTTAATTTTCTAGTACACATAACTTCACCTACTGGGAGTGATGGTAATACTGTATTCTTACTAGCTTCCTCACAATCGTATCTGGCTCTTGTCCAGCAAAAATCTTTGTACAGTCATTTCCCACCCTTGAATTAGCCTATCCAGAGGAAAATTCACTGAAAGCAGTTCTCCTTTCAGTAATATTTGTATCCCAAATAGTCATGCATTAATACAATTACGGTTTGGGGGATTCTTTCAGCAGTGTGTTGACATTTTAACCACACAAGTTGTTATAATACTACTCATGTTCAATAACTGATACACTATTGTATTTAGTGTTGTAAGGAACATAATTATAATTATTATAACTAATTAAAGTAAGAACATGTTCACTTCCACAAACAATAAAGCCTTACAAAGTGGGAAACCCATGTTAGAGTCAAATACTTGTGGTTAAACAACTTGTTCTCTATAATTATGTATTAGGAAGTTAGGATATCTGCAAAAAATATGCCATATATTTATATTTTGTGACACTAATATTTATATGCCTTGAAACTTTCTTTGCCTTAATTAAAGAAATGATTTCTCCTTATTATATGTGTCAATATAGTACAATACAATGTTCTTATATTGTGGGAATAAAGTGCTAAACTGGGAGGAGGTATCTCTTGGGCTGCTACAGGAGTCAGTGCTAGGTCTGGTGCTATTCATTATTTTCATTGCTGATTTGGATAATGGTGTGGAGAATATGCATATAGAATTTGAAGATGACACCAAGAAAGGAGGAGTTATAAGAACTTTGGAGGACAGAATTAGAATTCAAAATGACCTTGACAAATTGAAGAGTCGGTTGGAAATCAGGAAGACGAAATTTAATGAGCAGACAGGGGGCTGCAGACAGGGGAGCTTGAGAGAGAGCACAAGAGATCCCGCTGCTGAACAGGCCACCAGGAGAATGTACTAGCTGTGGCGTCAGTGAGTTTTCTTGACTGTTTGCATTTTGTTTCTGTTTGGTGATTTCAGTTACTGTGGCATTTGGGATTGGGTGTCAGGGAGTGTTTGATCTTTTGTTCCCTTGATTACTTTTGATCAATCTCATTCAGCCTTGAGATCAGCCTCCCCTTGTATGGCTAACAAGGGAGTTGGCCTGACCTGGGTGAGCAGGCTTTAAACGCCAGAGGCAGAGTGACCAGGGGAGTGCAGTGAACAGGAGGCTGCTGACAGGGGAGCTTGAGAGGGAGTCCCAATATGGTTAGGAAGACTTGCAACACCTGTGTCAGCACTGCTTCTGTCTCCTCTGCCTGCACCTGTAGCCAGACAGACCACCTGACCATGGATGCCTCTCCCCCGATCCTGGTGTGGTTTGTAGGGATTATGACTTGCAATTCCCACTTACCAAGATCCAGGCTGGAGAGACATCCGATGTGAAAGGTTCCTACTGGTAGAATCTCTCAGGAATCAGGTGGGAAAGCTACAGGAGGAGGTTGATAAGCTGATAGGGGAGGTATCTGAGCCTTTAGCTAACATCTTT